GTAATAGTAATAGTAAGAATAAGAGTGAGCGTAAGAGTAGTAGCAGTAAGAATACTACTAGAAATAGAAACAGTCATAGTACAGCTGCCGGAGGCTGATTCACCTTTCCCCCCGCACGGCAATTGGAAGGTCATGCCAAACCTTGCTGCACTAATGTGGTCTGTTCTTCTGCTCTGGTCGTCAGGCACTATGCTGCTTGTTACGGCTGCCGTTGCTTCCGGAGCGCAACATGCTGAAGACGTTGCCGAAGGCTCCAAGCACCAGCACTGCAGAAAAATCGGACGTCAGCAACAGAGGAAGGAATTCCATCCTGTCCCTGAAGAGCAGTCTGTGTCCACCAAGGTCACGGTAGGCCCCGAGAAGAGCAAAGAAGGCTGCCAGGAGGATCCATGGCAAGGTCCGCATGCCTAGCAACCTGCTTCCACCGAGAAGCTGCACTTCCACGAGGCCACCAGCTAACAACAGAATCCACTTCAAACCAGTCTCCAAGGGCTCGTTTGGCAGCAAGGGCATCACCGAGAAAGAAGCCACAAAGGAGAGAACCAAATATGAGGACACGAGCGAGTTTGATGGACGACCAGAGGTGCAAGCAGCCAGGAGGGGGATCGTCACCATCAGAATGGCCTTCTCATGCACGTGCCAGCCGAAGGCAAAAGCCACTGCAGAACCCAACCTGACCAGGCATGAGGTTCCGCAACATGAAACAATGCAAACCCTAGAGTTTCTAGAGACTCCAGACTGGTCACTTGCACAGCTTGCACAGCTCCTCAAGTAATCCCCCCCAGCCCCCCCAATATTAAACACCCCTCATTGTCGTGCATTATTATGATGTCTTGGGAGTATCTAATATTAGGGGGGTGGTGCTGGGGTTGAACATTGGGGGAGGGGATTATAAGAATTCTGGCTCTGCCGCTTAGCAGCGCAACGTATGTTGCGAAGCTGCCCTTGTCGGCCACAGCCGGCAATGGGGCAGGCCCCGTTCTAGTCCAAATGGCCAATATCAACGGGCAGTAAGCCAGAAGCGTGAGGAGAAACCTTAGTGAGCGGCAGCCAATGCACTTGATGATGTTCAACTTCCTTTCGGAGCTGAATGCGAACACCAAGGCACGTTACACGCGGCGGAATTGTCCAGAGCACAGCAGACTCATAGACCTCCGCAAAACCCGCGGTTGATGAAGAGCCCGAGGACTTGCCCATGACTTTGGCAAGAACCTGAAGATCCAGGACGTCAGTCATCGTAGCATTTTAAAGTACTAAAGTACTGCGGTGCCCATACAGGTCACTATGAAATGCAACTGTGAAACGCGGTCGAGTGTATTGTAAAGAGCCCAACAGTTGGGAGCCCAGTATGCATGAGTCAAGCCGCGGCCGAATGGAAATAACCGTTGCCCAATCTGCTGGAGCTGTGCCAGGCTCAGGAATGGGCTCAGAAGCACCAGAAAGGTTCCAACAACAGTAGTGGCAAGCTTCATCAACGGCCAGATAAAAAGTCGAGGGGGTTGGAAGCACGCACCGCAATGACTGCGGAGGAGGTATATGAAGTAGACAGGACCGACATACAAGAAGATGTGCTTCATACAGAGAAGCGTGCAAAAGAGAAATGCTCCCAGGTATGTGCGCCCACTCTCAACCGCCGTCACAGATAGCAGCAACAAGCCCAGCATCATCCCATTATACTGAAAGTGAATGTGGTCCACCAAAATCAGGGCCGAATTCCATAACAAGGCAGCTGCCGTCTCTGGGCCACCCAATGCCAGACCTCCAACCATGAGGAGAAGGTCAGCTGCAATCACCTGATCTTCAGGCTCACAGGGCCATTAGGGTTTAGGGTTTAAGGCTTAGGGTTTGGGGTCTGGAGTGTAAGGCTCAGGGTTCAGGATACAGGATTTAATGTTTAGGGCGTGGGGCTTAGAGTGTAGAGTTTAAGGCTGAGGGTTTAAGGTTAGGGAGGGCCATTTGAGGAAGGCCAAGGGATCAACGCTGGCCGTGGCCTGTGCTTCAGATGTTTATCCCGTAGACGGAATAGAGTTTAGGATTACAGGTTTCGGGTTTGGGGTGTAATCCTTCTTAAGCAGATAGAATAGGGTTCAAGGGTTTAAGATAGAATTCCCCCTTTAGGGTTTAGGGTTTAGGGTATAGTCTTTCTGAAGTAGATAGAACATGTAATTCGTAGGGTTGAGGGTTTAGGATTTTGGGCTTCAGGTTCAGGGTTACATATAATATGGAATTTGTCCATTCCGAGTAAGATCCCCACATACCCCATATGCTATCTACGTATGGGGGGCTATACCCTAAATCTTAGCTGAGGGCTCGACAATTGCCACGCGGAACCGAGCTTCGCGAGCGGCAAAGAATGTCATGGAGCCCACCTGAAGTTGGGCGACTGCCGCCACCAGGGTGCCCTGCCGGGGCCCTCGTATAAGCGTAGCGTTATAAAATAGAGACCGTAAACCGGTGGTTTTTGGCCGTCGGATCTTGGTCCCCACGGGTTTTTGCCGGCGGTTCTTGGGCATTTCCGGACATTCCCAGAGCAATTCTGGCGTGCTTAGGATTGTTTAGGAACCTAGTACACCGTTTCTCAGCCTCTCCCAAACCATTTCTGAGCATTATTGAGCCTCGCTCAAACCGTTTCTGAACGTTTTGGAGCCTCCTCCAGACTGTTTCTGGGCGTTTTCGAGCCTCTCCCAAACCGTTTCCGAGCCTCTCCCAGACCGTTTCTGAACGTTTTTGAACTTCTCCCAGACCGTTGCTGAATGATTTCAAGCCCCTCCCAGACCGTCTCTGGGTTTTCGAATCTTTTCCAAGCCGTTTCTGTGCGTTTTGGAGCCTTTTTCAGAACCGATTCTGAGCCTGGCCACAAGATCGATTCTGGAGCAATTGCGATCGTGCCACTCAAGCGGCCGTGAGACCGCGGCTGTCCCACGTGGCCTCGGAAGTAACTCAACATCGCGGCGCGACTGCTGACGGTCCCTTACGTGGCTTGGATGGTAATCTATGCAGCAAAGCAGCCTCACAGAAAGCATGGAGAGCGCGGCTGCAACACGAAGCCCTGGAAGTAACCCAACAACGCGTCATCGCGAGCGCTAATGGTCCTTGCTTTGGCCTTGGATGTCAGCCTGTGGGCAAAACAGCCTCACAGAAGGCCAGAACCTTGAAGTACATCACGTCATGCCCGGTCCCCGATTGAATGACGGCCCTCCTCGGTGCTGCCCCGGCCCCCGCCTGGATGCCCGTAAGACTTTAGGAACTAAAGCCTCAATTCCTTGAACTCCGGGTAGTCATGGGGTGGGTTGACTGCTACGCACTGGTGCAAGCGGCCTGGGTGTGCCCCCACACCAGCAAGCGCCCTATGCCGTGACCACACCCTGAACCCTAAACCATATTCTATCTACTTAAGGGGGATTATACCTCAGGGTTCGAGGCAGACACTTTTCTTGCTGCCCGGAAGAGGAGCTATAGTCTAAACTCCTACTATCCCTCCTCATCCCCTTTACAATTCCCTAAACCCTACACAAAGGGGGTTTTATAATCCCCTATACAGCCCCCTTTAAGGGAGTCTAGACTGCATTTCATATGAATTCCGAGTGGCGGAGTGCCGCTGGAATTGGATTGTTGCCCAGCTGGCATACTCCAAGTTGTTTACCTTACTGGTGCTTAAGGGAGAGTGAGGGAGTGGATCCCTCTAATAACACCGGGAAAATTCTATATAGGGACTATTTAGGGGTATATTGCCTTACTATTCCCTACTGAGAACCAGTAAGTTACTTGGAGCATTGCGGGGTCAAAGAGCACGGCAACTTGGGAAAGCAGCCATTCGAAATAGGCGAAAGCCGGGGGATAGTCCAGAGTCCAGGGCGAGGTTGCCTCGAAATACCACTCAGAAATGGGCAGGCTATGTGTAATGGACAGCCAGTTGCGGTGCACCTCGAAGTCCGTACTCCTGTATAAGTTGAGGCGGACCAAGCAAAATCGAAGAACCCTAAACCCTAAATCCTTAACCCTAAATCCTGAATCCTAAACCCCACAGCCTAAGCCCTACACCTTACACTCCAGACCCTGAACCCTACTCCTGTATAAGTTGAGCTGGACCAAGCCAAGTCGAAGCAAGAAAGCTCCAGCGATGAGGGACCAAGAAACAAGACGGCTCGCCATGAGGATTGTTATTATTACTGTTATTGTTATTATTACTATTTTTATCATTATTATTATTACTATTATTGTTATTATTATTACGATTATTGTTATTATTATTGTTGTTATTGTTATTATTACTACCAATGGAAAAGAAAATGGAAACTACTGAGGGTTATATAGGGTTATATAGGGGTTATATAGGGACTATATGGGGTTGTATTGGGGATATATTACTACCACTATTATTACTACGATTATCTTTATTGGGATTCTTTTGAAAATGCTAGTACCACTATTCTCTGTTATTTCTTACGATTATTTTGTATTGTTACTATTAGTACTATTAGTATTATTGCTACTTATTGCATGCTAACAGGTTGCTAAACGCTTGAGCCTGCAGATGGCTACGACGTCGTAAGTAGAAGATGACACCAGCATCCTGCTTGAAAAAGTTGTTCGCCACCATACCGGACACGGATTCCCCCTAAAGGGAAGTTACAAGCAAACCAGACTCCCCCTAAACCCTAAACCCCAAAAACCCTAAACCCTAAAGCCCTAAACCCTCAACCCCCCCCTCTCCCCCCCACCCCCTGGCCTTCTCCTGGCTTTCGAAGAGCTCCCTCTGCAGCTGTCTCCTCTCTGACTCCAATTCGGCGACCTCAGCCACTGCGCAAAGATCTCTGGTGCCCCTGAATCCATAATCCCTTAGGGCTTAGGATTTAGGATTCCCGTAAACCCTAAACCCCAAAACCCATAAACCCTTCAGTAAACCCATCAACTCATGACCCTAAGCCACTGAACCCCAATGCGCGATGGAAACAGTCCAAGCGGCTTTGAATTGCAACTCCTTGTCACTGGCTCCCTCATCCATGTCATCCATGTTCCTTACTGGGGGTTGGTAAGAAGAAAGGAATGAATGTATGTATAATATATACATATATACATATACGGTGTAATATATATATATATATATACATAAAGGCTTTATTCTTTGGGGCTAGGGTTCATAGGGAATAAGGGATATGCTATATTGGGATTATGTAGGGACTCTTCCCTACTAATCAACTGCAAGGTTCTGGATATCCTCCTCGGTCGCTGTCGTCTTGCGGTTTCTGTGCCGCCTTTGCCTAAGATTGGCTCCGAGCCCCGCACGAAGCCGCGGAGAAGCAACATACTCGTGCGAAAAGCTTGTCAAAAGCAATGTCTCTCCATTAAACCCTAAACCCTAAACATCCCTAAACCCTAAACCCAAAGCAATGTCTCTCCCTGTACACTTCAGCTAACTCTAGTGCGGCCAAGATGGCTCATGTTTCAGCCGCATGAGGTCCTCGTGGAGAGTTTGGTTGGCAGACATCAGCTCCTCCCAGCATTTAGGGTTTAGGGTTTAGGGTTTGGGGTTTAGGGTTTGGGGTTTAGGGTTTGGGGTTTAAGATTTAGGATTTTAGGGTTTTAGGTTTAGCCACGTTTATCTGAAGACTCGCTGGTGAGCTGATCTGCTGCCGCACTCGTCCTCCACCATCACAGTTTTGCCAGCACGGCCGCGCCGCAAAGGGGCTCGTGGCCTGCATTTCTATGTGAGCTATAGTCTACACTCCTAGTATTCTGGGTTTAGTTTTTTAGGGCTTTAGGGTTAAGCGTCTTAGGGTTTAGGGGTTTAGAGTTTTAGAGTTTTAGGGTTCAAGGTTTAGGGTCTAAACTCCTAGTACCCCCCACGATAGTTCCCCATGTAATCCCCGATCTTATATAATCCCCTTTGAGGAATTTGGACGATAGCTCATGTCGTGATGACTGTTGCCAGAAAATTTCGCGTTCGTAAGCCAAGAACAAATGTGTCAGTGATGTCAACCAGAAATATCAAGGCGCGATACAGGCCGACGCGCTACTCTTTTATGCGTAATCCCCTCCCTCTAATGTCTAACCCCCCCACCCCTGTACTAACAAATATTCCCAATGCAATATGATATACTATTAGGGGCGCGGGGCGTCAGATATTAGGGGGAGGGCCTGAACCCTGAATGATTAGTTCATCATGTTGTCAATATTTGTCAAATCTTTGGGCGCTGGCTTCGGTATGATGTCGCCGTCCCCGTCACTTTCGTCTTCATCTGCGTCATCCATCATGGCCTGCGCGTCGTACAGGGGCCGCTGTGCTAGCTTCCATAAATGGGGGGGCCCCAATATAGACAGTGGAATACTACGTAAATTCCTTATCTTAAAGTCTTAGGCCCTAAACCCTAAACCCTTAGGCACCTGCAAAAGGGTACCCTAAATTTTGGGGAAACCCCCATGTCTGTGTCTCCCCTGGAGTGTGCCTCTTTGGGCCCCACTGGCATGGTGCAGGCCCGCCGGATGGCAGGCACCACTGCAACATCTGCAGAAGATTTCCTGTCGTGTGCGGTTGAAAAAGTTTAGGTTTAGGGTTTTGTGTGGTCATGTTACGGCACTCTTCTGTCGCGTAAGCCTTACCTGGTAATCTATAGTCTCCTTAGACCTATAACTAATACTTCCTAGGGTTCTACTATAGCAAAAATGAAAAAAACTTCAGGAGACTACAGTAACTAGGGGTTCAGTGGAGTCATCTGGTAGTTTCCCTGAATTGAGGGGACCCATATATAGACCCCAAAATACCATAGTCCTTATTATAAGTCCCCCAAAGCCGTACCCCTAATTTTGGGAAACCTTCAACACTAAACAGCAGCCTCCATTTTCTTTTTCATGGTACCAAGATACCCCCATTATGCCTAATTTGGGGAAACCATTCTAAACCCTAAGCCCTAAACCCTAAGGCCTAAACCCTAAGCCCCAAACCCTAAGCCCCAGACCCTAAACAAGAACCCTAAACCCGCTCGTCGTCCCGCTCTGCTGTGCAGACCTCCTGGTTGCCGGCGTGGTCTTCTCTGCTTGCTCTTTGACCTTATTTGGGGGGTTCCTGGAATTAGGGGTCCCTTTAAAGGGTGTATATAGGGGTTCTATAGGGTTTATGGTTTCCAAAAATTAGGAGTACCTTTTTGGGTGTACTTACGATAAGGACTCCTGTATTTGGGGATCTATCTTGGGGTCCCCTTTTTTGGGGGAAGCTACCATTCGCACTCCGGAAACCTTAGACGATGTCACTGTAGTCTCTTTAGACCTATAATACACATAGTATCTTTAACTATTCCTTCGGGATATACTAGCAAAAAAACAGGAATCAACCCCAAGGAGACTACCGGTCAAAAGTCGAGGCTTGCTGGTATGCAAATATCGCGGGCCCGCGCCTGTTTTTCCATTCCTATGGCCGATCAGCTCCAGTTTGTTGGGGGGCCTGTGCTAAGGTGCTAAGCCGGGCTTCTGCTAAGGAACTTAACTTAAGTTAGTATACTATCCGTCCTGCAATGGATAATCAAATGGAAAAGAAAATGGAAATGAAATGGAACTGGTGGAATTTGGATTTAAGGAACTTAATTTAAGTTACTACATCAGGGGAACCCTATTAATTATCATACGTGACCATTATGGTAGCTTAATTCAAGTTCCTTAAACCCAGTAAGGTCGGGCTGTGCAGCAAACAAAACATTTAGCCGTTGCAGTCCGGGCCTATTTTTGCAGCTCAATTAACCCTAAACCCTAAACCTTAAACCTTGAACCCTAAACCCCAAACACTCATTTGTAGGGCTGAAACCAGGGGTCCCTAGTATGGGACCTTAACCCTGGGATCCTTGTGTACCTACTATATACCCTATATGTTACCCTTAAGGGTCCCTAGAATCCCCCTAAGCGGCCCAAGGGCCCACACTAGGGGCCCATACTTCTAACCTCAGGGTTTAGGGTTTAGGGCTTAGGGTTTAGATGATTGAGCCGTCCCGCCCCCATCGGCTAACCTCCCTGCCGCCACGGCGCTACCTGCTCCAACTCCTGCGCAGACGGGCAGTGGCAAAGCCAATGAGAAATTGGGTTGCTGTTGAGGAACTTCAACGAAGTTGTATATATATATATATAGTAGCTGATATTTTGCGAATATAACAACTGTCAACAATCTTGACAGCAACCCAGAAAACGCAAGCAGCAAACCGAGACAAACGCACACTAGCATATGGGGACTCCAATGATTCGGGGGCCCCAATCTTTATTCACCCCTGATTTTGGAAATTCCCCATATGCAACTCAAACCCGCCTCGTTCTTGAGAAGCAGCCTCAGTCAGTTCCACGTCAAAATTCTGCTCATACCAAGCCCCACCCCTTGTATTGGACATTCCCACCGTGGTATACTGTAACGTTCTGAGAGCATTGAATGGCCTTAAAACCCTACATCCTTAACCCTAAACCCTGAACCCTAAACCCTAAACCGCAAGCCCCAAGCCCTAAACCCTAAATCCTAAACCCTGCATATTCTGGGGAGGGGATTACATCTCCTCGTTGTAATTCAGCCAAGCGTCTCCTGCCCAATCTGTGCGGACCTTTGAAGGTCTGCCTGGCAGTGCTTACTAGTGGTCAGTAGGGAATGTATATTGATCCCTAGATGGGGGTTTCCCAAAATTAGGGGTACTATAGTATTTTCAGGTCTATATTGGGGTCTCCCTATTTTGGGAAACTACCATATTAATCCCTATATCATCCCGATATACCATGTTCCCTTCCAGCCCAATACGAATGTCTCATGTCTACGTTAAAATTCTGCTTGACAACCTCGTTATTCGAGCATCACGTTGGCAATGCATACAAAATTGAATCCAAACGGCTGTGCCCTATATGACCCTGCACAGCCCTAACATATGCCGCATGTAACCATATCCAACCTCGTACATACTCCCTGCTTCCCCTCTAAACAGAATCATTCTTGCACCATCAAAGGCATAGGGAAGGAGTTCACGAACAAATCGGGTAAGTGCAGCAAGCACCTCAACCTTTGACAGTTGCTCTGGTTGGGTTTAGGGCTTAAGCAACAAATCAATCACTGGATGTAGCAGTAAGCCCTAGACAAGCCCAGTTTCCACTTGATGTTCTCCTTAATTCTCCACTATTCGGATAACATCCCTGAACCCTGAACAACATGGTAGTTACTATTTTCGATTTCCACCTATCCTATATAACCCGTAACCTAAGCCCTAAACCCTCTACCCATATCTAACCCTATACAATACCTATATGAGCCATAGTCTAAACTCCCGGCATCCCCCTTGCTAAACCCATATAATCCTTATAGTCACCTTTTTTGACTTTGAGGGTTTAGGGTTTAGGGTTTAAAGACCCTAAACCCTAAGCCCTGAACCGGTTTAGGGTTTAGGGTTTGACAACGCAGCAAACTCCGTGGGATGCTAGGCGTACCTATTTACATCTGGACTTCTGCCAGACGACTCCTCGAAGGAGCATCGGTGACAGCCCGAAGACCCTTATTGGTGTAAAATTGGGATAGTGGAAAAGAAAATCGAAAGTATAGCGATTGTATAGAGATTATAGTAGTAGAACAGGGTATATTTTGTCTGTGTGTCTTACCCCTAGAGGCCTAGACACAGGGCTACAGCAGTGAAGGTGTGGAGGTGGAAGGAGGTAAAAAGGTGGATATGCAAGCTGAGGCCAGACGGCGCGGCCCCAAGCGCGTGCCCTATAGTCCCGCAAATATGATCGCGTATATAGCCCCGTTTAAGGAGTTTAGACCCTAAAGGGTAAGCCCTCAACCCGAAATCCTAAACCCTAAACCCTGTACCCTGAACCCTGAACCCTAAACCCTGAAGCCTGAACCCTAAACCCTAAACCCTAAGCCCTGAACCCTAAACCCTAAACCCTGTACCCTAAACCGTAAACCCTAAAGGGACCCAGTACTGCACCTCAAGGGCCTGACGCAGCGCACGCTCTTCAGCTAGAGCCTGCCTCCGGCGGGTTGCAGCATGATGTCTACTTGAATAAAGGGTGGTTTAGGGTTTAGGGTGACTCTTGTTGAAATACTATTCAAAATTTTCATGTTTAATCTAATATTGGGCCCAGGTACACATAAAATGTAAATTGTTCAACAAGAACCCCCGGTTCTATGGGGGAATATTGGGATAAGAAAGAAAAATAGATACTAATATTTAGGGTTTAAGGTTGAGGGTTCCGGATGTAGGGGTTAGGCCCTATTCCCCGGGGGAATCCAAAAATTGAAGCATTGTCATCCAAATTTAGGCACGCGCATGGCACAAGCAAGCGCGCCAACTAAGTCATTTGGGATTTTAGGCTTTAGTGCTGAATATGAGTCCCCCCCCACCTAATATTAAATACCCCAGATATGATGCCATGTTACCTTCTCGGAGCATGTTCAATATTAAGGGGGCTGGGAGGGTTTGGGTATTAGTGGGATCGGTTTACTTGCTGAGGCACAGCACTTGCTGTCTATGCGCCTCACCGCTTCGATCTCCGAATGGTTTTGCTCATCCATGCTTTCACAAACAGGAATTGTGCATGCTCCTCGAGAGGATGCAAAGTCTGAGTGGGATGTCTTCCTGCAGATATATACCCTATTATAATATAGAAGTTTCCCTGTTCTTTTCCGTTATCCCTATATAAGCCCAATATATACCTTCTTTATGATATAGTACTTTCCACTTTCCTTTCCATTATCCCTATTGTAATGTAGTAAGTTGTAGGCCAGGCATGGGCTCACCTACTGCTTTTCGAAGCTCGAGCCGGCCAAGAAAGCTGCAGCGGGAAAGCGTTTGGGCGCTTTAGCTCGGGAAGACTGGGTTGCTGTTAAGGAACTTAAATTACTTAAATTAACCTACCATAACGGGTATACATTGTAATATGGTTTCCCCCAATGTTCTATAGTAGCTTAAACTAAGTTCTTTAACAGCAACCCAAAAGAGCGGGCCCTCGGATTCACATGCTCGAACGCAGCATAGTTGTCATCAAAAGTATGGGTTCAACCTTCGCATGCCCTAGTCCCTGGCCTTGTCTCTGCTGATCGATTGGCACCTTTTCGAACTATTCCCCGCAGAATTGCTGGATGGCTGCATTTCCCGGGATGGTGCAAAGCAGCTCAGCGAAGCCTTCTTGGCAAAGAGGCGGTCTCCCAGGCAGCTCAGAGATACAGGGCCCCTTCACACAGCTCATGCCCCAGAATCTTACGCAAACTCACAAAGTCATACACCTGTCCATGCATGCGCGCT